TCTTCCTTCGCTTCCCATTCATCTGCTCCAACCATGTCTTTCTTTCGCCGTCTAGTAGTCGCGCTAGCGATTTCGGCGGCCTCTCTCCCCGTCATTGCAGGGCCAGTACAGAAACCCTTCATTCTCTTACCACCAGATGCCGTCAAGCATCGTGAAGCAGTAAAGGACATTTTTGTGAAGAGCTACTCAGCGTACAAGTTGGGTTATCGACCATGCCGTCGTCATGTCTCCATCTGATTTTATCCCCAAGAAAGTTTGCTTTTGGTCACGACGACTTGTCTCCGTTGAGCCAAAGTATGCATTGATTTGGTGAAGTACAGTGCATTGCTCACGCGACGATTACCATAGGTTTCTCGGATGGACGAAATGGATGGGGTATGTATCATAGCCGTTCACATTCCTGCCCGCATCTAATAATGTCATAGGTGCTTCGATCGTTGATGCATTGAGCACTATGGTACGACTTATGATCTTACGATAATACTTCCATTTTTAACCCACATTTCAGAACATCATGGGCCTCAATGTATGTTGTCACATTGTCTATCACTCTTTCTAACCTTATTGTTTCTCAGGACCTCTTCAACGAGGGTGTAAACTTCTCTAGCAAGATCGACTTTAGCCATTCTCAGACATCAGACACTGTCAGGTAAGCAGTTTCCTGATCTCAATCTTCCTTAGCTAATAGCACCATTCCAGCGTCTTTGAGACGACAATTCGGTATCTGGGAGGGCTACTGAGTGCATACGAACTCAGTAATCAGAAATTCCCCATACTTCTACAGAAAGCTAAAGAAGTCGCTGACAAAATGGCCTTTGCCTGGGTGGGCGTGAGTACTGTTCTATCTTTCTAAACTGTCAGCTTAATAAACTAACGTCCTATAGAACAACGACATTCCTTTCGGCTTCCTGGACTTCGCTTCTAACACCCCGGTTATTTCAACAGTATGTCTTCTACGGCTTATTTCGTTCTTCCTGTATCTAACTATGATAACTAGTCAAATATCGCCGAAGCTGGCACAGTGGGTCTCATACCGCATTTCCTTGACTTCTTTTCTGAACCATATCCACTTAGCTCACATTAGAATGGGAAACGTTGACAAAGTACACCAAAAACCAGACGTACGCAAACTTGGCCCTCAAATCCGTGTCACACATTGCAAACCTTGTGGGTTTATCGCATCAATAAATATCCCCTCAGCATCCGAACTAACGCCGTATTACAGCCATCCCCACTCCCAGGTTTGACTTCCATCGCACTCGCAGATTTCACTGTTATATTAATGTCGTTTAAATAGGTCTCGCCGCACAGGGTATTGATCCGTCATCAGGTGCTTTCGTCGGTGGTTATGTCGTGAGTAGCAGTTTCTTTTTATAGCACCTACAAGAACTAACGCCTCCACGTTCACCCAGACGTGGGGAGGCGGATCGGACAGCTACTTCGAATATCTGATCAAACACGCGCGCTTGTCAAACACAAATAACAACCTTTTCGCCGACACATGGGCTACTGCCGTCGACTCCTCTATCAAGAACCTCCTGCGTGTAAATATAAATTCCGAACAACACCCTCAAAATATTTTGCTGACGATGTATTCGTAGACTTCGACGGTTGGGAACGATCTGTACCTGGCTGATTTTGATGATTCGAGAACCATTCGCCACATAGGCTCCCATTTGGCGTGCTTCTACGGAGGCAATTGGTTGTTTGGTAAGTTGGCTCGCATTTGCTTTGAGCCGCAGCTCAATACATTTGCCACGTAGGTGGACGTTTGCTGAACAACCAGACCATCGTGGATATTGCATTGAAGCTCGTCGATGGGTGCTGGAACACATACGCTGGTACTGCGTAAGCTCTTCCACCAGTCCTCCAAATTTCGAAATCATTCTGTCATTCTGACATACTGGATCTTACAGCACCGGAATTGGCCCAGAAGCCTTTGCATACATCTCGTCCGACGGCAACTTCACAGGGAACGGCAATCCTTCATCTGACCAGCTGGCATTTTACCAGAAGCACGGCTTCTACATCACTGCTTCCGACTACATCCTCCGCCCCGAGGTTCTCGAGTCCAACTTCTATGCATATCGCGTGACTGGCGACAGCAAATATCTCGATCGTGCTGCGAGCGCAATCGACAGCTTCAATAAGTTCTTGCAGACGCCAACGGGCTTTGCGGGGATTAATGATATTAACGACCCGAACACGTCGAAGATTGACGACACTGAGAGCTTCTGGTTTGCCGAAGTACTGAAGTACTTGTACGTGTCCTTCTTTTCGTATTTTCTTTCCTTCCATAATTTTTACTGACTGGTACTGTGAAATAGGTACCTGACATTCGATGACCCCAACCACATCAGTCTTGATCAATGTAAGTACCATGATTCTACTTACATATATCCACGCACTAAACAATCGATTCTTCGCTGCGCAGACGTGTTCAACACGGAAGCTCACCCATTCAAGGCGCCCCCAGCTAAGCCTGTCTACGGCAGCCACACTTTCTTCCCTTCTAAGCCGTTCGCATTGAAGTTCGGCCCTCCTCTACCCGTGATTAGCCCCAACCCTCACATCAAGGCTATTACAAACCCTCAAGCGTAAGGAAAGAACATTCATGAAACGAAGGACTACCGTAATTATAAGGATTTCCTGTACTTGGGTTTCCGGGCACACATACCATCCTTCAAATTTACATTCCTTATTGTTGTATATATACATTTCTCTGGAAGATCAATGGCTTAAACCTCACCATTTTGACATAGCTTGTCAGTTGAACGAATACACGATGATATAGTGCGCAAATCCGTCTAATATCACATTTGCACGATCATTTTACACGTGGTATATAAGTTATTTTCGGTTGAGCCTGCGGTTGCCAATGCTGGCAAGCGCCTGTTTACCAGTAAATATCGTGAAGACTCCAAGAATTGTACCGTAAAGCAGGACCTGACCCAACTTCAGGTCAACCCAATACCAGAAGAGAAGACCCTCGAAGGCTCCAAGTGACAAGACGAAAGGGAGAATGCTAGGTGAGAACAAGTGGGGAGCGCGCGGAGAGATTTGTGACCACTGTGCGGGAGGTTGTCAATAGTGATCGAGCTGCGAGTAAGACGAATACTTACGAGGCCCAAGAGGACAGCCCAAGGAGCGACCACGAGCCCAGCAAAGAATGCTGAGATAACACGCGGAGGGAGTTTTTGTTCAGGACGGAAGGTGTGCTTGATTTCGGGGAGGACATGGAACGATGCTTCATCGGGATGGACGGGTGCGGGATGGGAGAGGGGGAGGATAAGATCGAAGAGTTCTGCAGAGAGAGGGGAGTATTGAGACGAGCCGATAATGAGCGACACTTTAAGAGGCGCGTCGGTGGTGGGCGGTAGAGAAAGTGGTGGACGCGCCAAGTTCTGCAGGGGATTAATGAGATAATTCCGGCCGCGGATATACGGTAGACGTACCAGCTCAAATTTAGCCTTTCCTCCAGGTGTGACGCGCACAGGCTGAATGCCTTCTTCTCCCGACTGCTCGTCATAGAAGCGAAGGAACGTCTGGTGTGGTTGCACGCCTTTCCCAGTTTCTTTATCCACGACTTGGAAGGTCAATTTTAAAACATTGTTTGCGGTGAGGTTCACAGGCGTTGATGATTTCTGTACTAAAGAGACTCTGCAGACATGCATTCAATACTTCGTTGTAGGAGAATACGAGAAAAGACGTACGGTTCTGAACGAATCTGCGTGCCTGTGGGATCAGAAACGCTAAAACGAGGGGACTGGAGGGTCAGCAAAGACGCCTGCGCCGATACTGCTAAGAGCAGTAAGTGTATGAGCGAAAACATCGAAACTTGCTGGAGGATGACGGGGATAGCGTTGGCAATGATTCAAGTTGCGTGAGTTTAGAGCGTCGACGTGTTACGCACCGGAGTCGTGGGAAATCTGCGCTGATGCTATTTTTAGTCACAGTAATGAGCTATGCAAGACCAGGAGTATAATATCAAGTTCAAGCATAACGAATGATAAAAATAATTAAGACATAGACTGTGAATTAAATTTATGATAGTAATGAAAACGGCGGAAACAAAGATTCAATGTCAGTAGTAATTATGATGGAGCTAACCATCATTTAAAATAACATCAACGGAAGAGGTTGTGATAAGTCTAAATTTTATTATCAACCTCATCTACCAAGCCAAATTGGTTCCCGGTTCTGTCGAAACGGAGGATGACTGTGTGCCATCCAGAAATATTCTTGGTCGTAATTAATCGGTATGCATATGGCACTTTGGAAGCACATGTACAGGCCTTTGTTCCTCATGCAGGTGGCTTGCTTTTATATTTAAGAACTACGAATGCGAAGGACCAATTTGAGGACAATGGAATACCAATTACGCGGTATCAGAATCAACCAAGGGCTATCCGTACCCAATCCAGTACACTCTAGACCACAGAAGACCATGTAGACTCTCGGTGACGGAGGTTGATGCCCAAGATTTGCAGTTGGCGGTCTAGTTTGGCGTTGCCTTGCGGGGATTAACTACAGACTTCGATTTCGCCAAGTCTTCGACTCACTATGGAGAAGATATATCTACGCGTATCAAATGGGCGTGGCACAGAGGTTCTTGTCGTTACACTGGGAAACCCACGGTCTAGGTTATGTGGGTCGGAAGAAGTAAATATTTTCTGCTATGACACGAAAACGAGCTGAATATTCACTATTTCATAATTTTTCTTCCACTAGACTTGAAAGAGAGAGGTTGGAGCGGTGTCTATGCCCAGCACTTTAAATGCCAGTTTTAATTGTGTTCTTGCTTTAATTGTAACTTGAGGACTCAGAGAACCTTTCCAAGTAATACCAAGTCGATATATGCTGTAGATGTTTCCTTGCTGTTTTAACTGGCCATCAGTTCAATAAAATAGGCCATACATGACTTACTTTAGAAGAATATGGCTGTAGCACGTTAAAATTGAACATTCGTTAACATGCAGAAACGGAGTGGGACAAAAAAGAGTCCCGAAGGTGGATCGAACACCTGACCGTGCGATGTCAGCTCACACTGCAATCGCATGCTCTACCACTGAGCTATCGAGACGTGCTTAACCTCGATAAATAAAGAATTAAGTACTGGGTAGTCGTAAAGGGATTATGGAACGACGGTAAAAGCCTACACTTATACAAGTACTCAGGAAGCCAATGTGAAGCTTGAAAATGATTTAAAAATCGACGACCAAGTTAGGTACATAGCTGTGAACGGATGCCATTGCCAAAACATCCACAAGTAATTATGGGAACAATTTTGCGAGACCAAGCAGCAGTATCCGTTCATACGATAGGCATGAATTTGAAATTGTAGCACAAGAAAAGAGCGTGCCAGATCTTGAGGGGGAAAGCGCGCGGGAAATTGTATATCTTCAAGAAGTACAAAGCGCAAGGCCATCGCCAATCGCGAACGCGTTGCTAATTTCAAGGATCGGCATACCTGTTGTCATCGGATACGCAATCCAAAGTTGAAGCGAGCAGTGAAGATGAAGGGGTAGACGGTGAAAGTTGATGCTCCTAGGGTCTTTCATGCGTGATAACTCGACAGCTCGAGAGAAAGAGCTCGCTATAACTTGGCTATCTTGCAGGATGTTGAGCGTTGCGACTTGTCTGGAAAATCGTTCCTGTGAAGAAAACGGTCGGAAACCAAGGCGGATGGCAAATAGACGCACATCGTGTTACGTAATGCTAACGCGTTCAGCGACGCGTCACCTTCGAACTGCACACTTTATTCTTCTTTTATCGTCCCTGCTCCGTCCTGCTCACCTCTAATCGCCATGACTGACGTTGAAATGAAGCCCGCCGACAAGGTCGCGGAAGAAAAGAAGGAAGAAGCGAAAGACGAAAAGCCCTCGCTGCCTACACCCACAGCCGAAATCAAGTCGAATATTGCACTCATTGACCGAGCAGTATCGACGCTCGAGCCCCGCTTTACTCACCGAGTGTTGCGCACATTGGCTACGCTTCGCAAACGGATAGATGATGGTGTGTTGAGAACTACTATTGAAGAGGCTTATCCTAAAGGTGCGATCTTCTACGAGTCGATCACTGAACACGAACGAATAATTTCGGAAATAGACAGTGTTGTTAAGAACACCTTACTTTCATGGCTTCCTTCTGCACCTGCTGCTTCTTCAGAACGGTCCATGGAAATCGATTCGACATTGTCCAAATCAGCAACTCCGGAACCCGTACCAGAAGCCGAGGTCTACCTTCGCCTGCTCATTCTGTACTACCTGTTGAAATCACCAGAGACATATGGCAAGGCCATTGACCTTTCCCACCAGACCGTGGAGAAGATGCAAGCGCTTAACAGACGGAGTATGGATCCCATTGCGGCTAAGATCTGGTTTGCTGTTGAGCGTACCTACGAACTCGGGGGTCAGCTTGCGGATGTGCGACCGTGAGTGTAGAGGTTGATTCATACATCCATCTCTTTTAACATTTTGGATAGACTATTCCTTTCGGCACAGCGTACTGCATCCCTGCGCCACGACGATGAATCCCAAGCCGCACTGATTAATTGCCTCCTGCGCAGCTACATCCACTACAACCTCTACGACCAAGCTGACAAGCTCGTCTCCAAAACCACCTTCCCTACCTCCGCCAGCAACGCCCAGTTTGCTCGCTACCACTACTACCTCGGCCGCATCAAGGTTGTGCAGCTCAACTACAGCGAAGCACACACAAATTTGCAGCAGGCCATCCGCCGTGCACCCCCGGCGAAGCAAGCCCCTGGATTCTATCAGGCTGTGCACAAGTACTTTGTGGTGGTTGAGTTGTTGATGGGAGATATTCCGGATAGGACCTTGTTCAGACATCCCGTTCTTGAGAAGGCTCTTGGTGCTTACTTTGACATTGTCAAAGGTGCGTCGTACTGTCCTCTCCACGCTTGGAATATTTAGCTTACCCAGATTTATCTAGCCGTCCGCACCGGCTCCCTCTCCGAATTCCAAACTACCCTCTCCAAACACGCCGCCCAATTCGAAGCTGACAAGACCTACACCCTCATCGTGCGTCTGCGCCAGAATGTCATCAAGACCGGTATCCGTCGTCTCTCGCTCTCATACTCACGTATCTCCCTACGCGACATCTGCGTCAAGCTGCATCTCGATTCAGAGGAAGACGCCGAATACATTGTCGGCAAGGCAATCCGTGACGGTGTCATTGAGGGCCGAATCGTGCACGAGAAGGGATGGATGGAGTGTGGAATGCAGAAAGGCGGCTATGGACCCGAGGTCAGCGATGTGTTTGGGAGGAGAATTACGTTCTGCTTGGACTTGCATAACCAGAGTGTCAAGGTTCGTTTCTTCATATACTATGTTGCCGTCAAAGAGTATGTCCTAACTGCTTCTTTTACAGGCTATGCGATACCCACTCAATGCTCACCGGAAAGAACTCGCTGCAGCTCAGGATGCGAGGGAGCGCGAGAAGGAGCTCGCAAAGGAGATCCAGGACGGTGATCTAGATGAAGACGATATTGGAGGGGACTTCTGAGCATACCTTCGTTAGTTTGTGTAGAAATATCTATTCTTTGAATCAAAGAACATTTCTTTTCCATTGCAAATCTTTGATATGGTGGCCCAATCGCTGCTTTCCTAAAAGTTATCCGGGCCGTAAGAACCCGGCTTGCGCTGACGTAAAATCCATTTTGACCGTCGTGTCCGTCGGCGAATAAGTGTCTTTGACTCCTTCAACATCGTCCGTCAATAATATCTCAGAATTCGACTGAATACCTGTATAATATTCCCTAATGTCTATAATATCAAGAATATGGAATGCTGTTCGGAACCCCGTGAGGTCATTCCCTCACTCTCAAGCTCAGACGAAAACTCATTCTGGTGGATTCGAAGGTACGATATGTGGGCAGAGATTTAGAAGGTACTTGTAGATTCTTTAGTTGTTTTTGAAGCGCTTCATGTGTAGTATTTTAGGCAACCGATTTTATGAGGCTCCTAGTTCTACGGATGGTAAGCATGCCCTGTGCAGCTGTTAGACGCGTCAAGACTTATGGAAGAATTCAGATCCTCGAAGAACTAAACGAACAATTCAATATCGTGATCAAGAGGAAGTTTGGAAATATATTGGAGGTGGAAAGAGATTACCCAGTACGTCCTTCCCAATTCTTGACCTTGTAGAACCAGACTAACAAAACCAGTACAATGGTCTTCATGGCTAACCCACACGCGTCCCTACCCCCCGTCTCTTGAGGTATATATTCTGCTCTCCGCTTTCAACTTTCTGTTTAATATATTACGCTTCTAGGAACTCCAAGCGGACTTGGCACGCCAACATCGCGTTCTCATGAACGCTGCGATGATAGAGGCCCGGGATGAGGAAGAGCGCAAGCAAGCTCTTCAATTACGAAATGCCGACCGAGAACGACTACAAGCTCCTCCTCCTGAACCAATACAGGCGCAGGTTAAATTGGAAGCTTTGTCAACACACGATGCTGAAGCCCTGCCGTCGCCTCCACCACCAAATGCACAGCTAGAATCAGCGAAGGAGCAAGAACAGCCGAAATCCCCGTGGAAGCACAACATCGACCCAGAACCGGAGTCGTGGACGCCTCGGGCTCGTAGAAGGGGCCAATAGGGTCTTGTGTCTATGTATTAATACTTGGGACTGCCCCAGTCCTATAATATGTTTGATTTCTTTCCCTCGGAGACGAACCGAAGTCGACGCTTGTCCCCATTATTGACAGCGGCACCATGTCTTGAGATAGTTAATGTATTTCCTCTCAGCTGAGCCGTGCAAGTCTTTTTATTTACGAAAGAGCTATGTATGCAACGGTAACAGTGAACATTGCCTCGCAGCCGCAATTTCTGTGGGCGAATTACTTACTCCGATCCGCCAAGTCTGACGCGAACACGAGGCAACCAAATTTGAACGATCTCTCACACAGCCCAATGCTGGCTGGAGCAATGTGCTCACCGACTTATTATTACTTTTGACAGTGCTAACGGCTCATCTAACGTCCTGTTCACGTCGGACGACTCTTAGCCGACTTCGTTACTCCTCATGAACCTTGGCACTACACTCAGCGCGATGCTGAGCCTCTCTGACTTGCGACGACTCTTACACGCCATTACGAGATTATTCACGGACAAGAACATACTTCGGAGCGCTCTCCGACGGCTGCTGCTCTTATGGTCAATATTACGCTCAAGATTTAAAGTTGGCCGGGCCCCAGGGAAGGGAGATGGAGATGGGGAGTATGGTACTAGGCAAAGACTCTCGTATGTTGACCACCGTCGAGAGAAAGACGAAGTTGTGAGCACTGTAGCAACCGATTCCTCGGATTCCCCGTATCCACCGTCAACACTACTCCAAACGCCTATGGACGATAAACTACACCTTCTACAGCCTGGAGACATCCTTGGACCAGTTGATAGCATCGCATACTCGCTCCACCCTTATGCCCTCTCTGTCCGTAACGCTTCTAAGTCCTCACAGGACCTCGGAACTATACCTATGAACCAATATACCATTTCGTACCCTAGCATTCCCATGTATAACCAGCGAAATACCTCGCATCTGAGTTTCGACCGACCATATTCCCGATCTCAATCCCCGAATCTCGCAGTACCCAGAAGGTCAATGGACCGCCACTCGATGGAAATTTCAGTTCGGTCTCGGAGTGCCTCGCCTTCTGGTTCTGTAATTGTACCTTTACCTGCGGTGGAAGGCCCGTCTCCGGAACCGTCTGAGCTGCCTGAAACGCTTTCACATCCTAGGATTTCACCCCAGTCACCGGAATATTTCATGAGATATGACAGGGGTTTGGTGGTGTAAGCAAAAGTTATATTCTGGATGTTGCATCCTGCTAACGCTCTATCCAGACCTAAAATGGAAACAAATGTTAAGATCCCTCCTATGACTACGACCTATAAAAAGTAACTATTACCTCTTAAAGTATATTTATAGCGTACTAATCTAGTTATTTAGGCGAGAAGACCCCCTTGGTTGGATATCATGCCTACATCCAGAAGGAGCACGATACTTCTTTCACGAACAAAAAGTCTGTATTAATCTTACTTCATTTTATTCCTG